ACTGGCAGTGGCCTTATTCTGAGGTGAAGTAAGGATAGTGGATGGGGGTTCCCTGGGAAGGGGAGACTCTAGTACTGAGGGGTGTACTGCCAGGGGGCAGCACCCCAGATAAAAGGGCACTGGGGTCGGGGAGGGACACAGGGCCAGAGGACAGGCGGATCAGCGGCCTGCAGGGGGCGCTCCAGGATGCTGGAAGAGCTAATTCCCAGAAGAGACCAGCAGGAGGTGCTGCAGGGGTGAGTCTGCCCCTCTACAGCGGTATATTATTCAGCTACTAGATGGATGCTGTGTGATGTGTAGGGTTCCAGGTAGGGCATCGTCCCTGGTAAACAAAGGATACAAAGCTGGAACACAAGCTGTGTAGAAGCCTGTTTGCATCACTCATTTATTGCTGTTTTTTTAAATAAACACCTCCTGTTTAAGAAGGTCTGAGATTCCATATATTATGACAGCAAACAGCTGCCTACATCAATAACTACTTGATACTAATTGGCTGCCTTGCTGGCGTTCTGAGCAGAGACCAAAGTTTGAAAAGGCCATGGAGAAAAAACAGCCCTCTCGTTAGTAGAAATCCCTTGAGGACAGGGTCAAGGCACATAGGCAGGGCAGGACAAGGGATGTTTGCACTGCTGCTCCCTTGCTGTACACATTCCATCAATAAAGAGGCTTTCAGTCTCCAGGGCTAGCAGTCAAGAACACGAGGTGAATTCACAATAAAAATACACTGCGAAGTGAGGATTAGACCTGACACACCACTTAAACAACTGATGAATTGGTTTTCTCAGGCTATCAAGAAGCAATTCAGCTGCATTTGCTGCAGCATTATTTTCTAGCATGAAGTACACATTCTAGCATGAAGCCACCAGATAATTCACTTTAATGTATGCAGTGTAGTTGTAGCCATGTCAGTCCCAGGATATTAGAGAGACGAGGTAGCTTCACTATTGGGAACATGGCTCCCGCTGCCCAAGAACTGTCCACACCAGCGCTTTTCGTCGCTAAAACTTTTCTCATTGAGGGGGGGTGTTTTTTCACGCCCCTGAGCGACAAAAGTTTTAGCAAGGAAAGTTCCAGTATAGACATAGCCTATGAAGGTAGGTTATCCGTAACCCTCTACCCCCCTCTTTTTGTCCTATGACTGCCTATGTTAACAGGCCACTCTACCTAGACTGGTCCCTGACAATATGGACTAACTA